TTTTTTACGTCTTTTGCGTGGCTTCTGCACATCTCATATCATTTCTTATCACTGTCTCATATATGTATACCATATCATTTGAGAGCAAATAGAAAGGACTGGTTTGAAGACGAAAAAGTTGTCGTGGTTACGTCACATATCAGTCAACTCACTCCAGGGCGTTTCCACTCGACATGCTGATCGGGTGGTGTTTTGTAGTAGAGACTTCGTTCAGCAGCTGGAAATTCCGGGTCTTCGAAGAGAATCTTGCTAGTCAGACAACGTTCACGTTCTTTGTAAAAATCTAATCCAAATGTCGTTGCACCAGGTGTAGGAACAGGTGGGATGAATGGATGTACCTGGAACAAATTGAAAAATAAGGCATGATACAACATCCATACACTGATTGAAGCCAGGTCATTCCGTTGCATCAAATGCATCGAAAAGCACACATGGTATCAATTTTTTTGATACTGTCGTTAATTATGTTGTCGAATCTGCAATTACGACACGTCTGGCCGCGGAACACAGCGCGTCTGCATTGTCACCGTTTGCGACAAAGAGCGGCGACGACCAATGCAAAAATTGAATGTCAATGGGTGGCAAATAACATCGGCTAGGATTAAAAACATAATGGTTAACAAGGCTGAATTTTAAGCCTTACTCCAAATCCACCTTGGTTTGAATTGTTGCCCCGAAAATGAAACCGGATGTACTAGTTGGTCTGCCGTTTATAAAGGGAACAAATGAAATTGATAGGCAAGCTTTGACAGTACATTCAGGGCTGCCTGCCATACTGACATCTTTCCCACTGTTCGGCTCCAAATGAAGAGAAGGAGCACACCGTGAGAAAGCGCCTGTGCTGGGTCTTAAGCCATGTGCTATCAGTTTTGAACAATGTGGAATGTGCCTTTAAGTGATAGTCTAGTCGAGCGTAGGCAACTAGGGGGAGGCCTCATTGCCAGTGAAGCATACGCAGTTAAGCAGTTCTTTTTTTGTTAAGTACCACCAGCTCGAACCAGCTCGATTTCCATTCACAATTGCAGTGCCACAACACTGGCCCACACAACGAACTGCGGGGCCAGAAAATGTACAAATCAGCGTTGAAAACCTCCTAAGCGAAATTGGTACCAATTTATCAATCCAGAAGCAAAGAAACGCTTGAGTGATTAGGACGGAGGCTATTCCGAATATGATCCGGACCCAGCATTTGAAATAGGAACTTTACTTAGTCTCTAAGTAGGCCAGTCTATAGCATTCTATGCAAGAGGGAAGAGAGAAGACTAACACTTGTTATTTAGTGTGATCCGCACATACTTGAATTTTTTAAAAGAGGAATTCACGATAAGAACGAAGGTCAAAGAAGGGAAAATTGCATAGTTGGGAGACAGGCGGACCTCCTGAGGGTGCTGACCGACGCGCAATTGGCAGCGAAAGATTTGACCTCGGCGATCTAGCATGGCTCACTCTTGGCGCGGTTGGCGGGGTACGCCCACCGACTATCTAATCACTCGCAGGTCTATACGCGATAGATAGCAGAGAGAGCGTAGTGTTGAAGAGGGCACAGCGATGAGAGTCGCATCAATGCGCAAATCAACGGGCAAGGAAGGGGTCCCATTTCTCGGGTTTCGGGCCGTTTCAAATGGTTTCTTCTTCATCCCTGCTCCACTGACCACCTCTACCCTTATTTCCAATGAGCTAACTTTTCATCGTAAATTCCTTAGGCCTTAAAACAAAAAATTCACTTACGTCTCGTTTATACTTCCCACTGATAATGTTGTCTAAAATCACTTTTCCAATGCTTGTCAACGAGTTGCCACGACCACCCATGTTGAAAATGATGTTGCCAGCTATAGCGCCAATAATCGCACCAGTTTCCTAAATTTCATTCCTCAAGGACGTTTAGGTAATGATCATCGTATTATAATGCTAAGTAACTCAAAAAGGGCATACCGGGTTGATCCCGAGAAAACGATGGGCAGCCTCGCCAAGCATTTTTTCCACAATTGATTCCATACCTCCAGATGACATAATATTGGTTAAACCTGTAAAAATTGAGGATAATTTGTTACCGCCAAAATATTTATGCGCCAAGTTGTTTGTAAAAAATAAATTGAAGGAATACGAATAAAACTGTAAGAAAGCTGAACCATGTGAAAATAAACAGTATTCTATCCAAGAAAGATAACAACGTATGTATGTAAGTAAAAAATTTAGAAAGGTTTGTTTCGTGTTTACCAACGCATTTTTCAAGATTTCAACAATCACCTTCTCCTCCGGCAATCTGGCTAATGGAACCAACAATATCGCCCAGGTTGCCTCCACCAAAGCCGTCAAATGCTCCTGTAAAAGGTTTAAGTGAGTACAATGTGAATCTTGATGTAGTTATTCCAAAAAATCCTCTCATTTCGGAAAATTCAAGTAGAATACTTCGAAATTTGCGAGAAGGCAAAAATGTGTAGTATTTCGCAGGCCTTTGGAAGACCCAACAGCATTACTTCGAGTTTTTGTACAGTACTTTTTGATATTTGATAACAAAGATTTTAAAATTTGTTTATATTTGTATTAACAAGTTCGGTTAAGTTGTGTAGTTCATAAAATGCCCAGACAAATCTTGGGACGAGACATGCACGTCTTCAAGGCAACTTCAAAACAGCCTCCAGTTTTCGGCCCA